AATACCTACATAATAATTATAGGTATATCGCACGGAGACATCAAACAACATAGCGTTATTTACTTTAGAGACGAATAATAATTAATGTTTCGATTATCCTTGCAAAGTTGTCGACTATAATGTTCTATAGGTATAGGACCAGAACGAAATCGATTGCAATATAATTATTACAATAGCAGCAATATCGTTTCTTGATTTACTTTTTTCCACAATTTTTTTTTCTTATTTTTCAATTCTGTTGGGTTAGTGTGTATCTGTTTTAATCGGCTCAAAATCCTCTCAACTTAGCCCCAAGGAACTTGGACTTTATCAACGTAGGTGACGTAGGTTCTTCGTTATTGTGATCCGAGGCTAACGAATAGCGTCCACACAACTATACCCAATCAATATAATTTTTGAGGGTGTGTGACGCTATCGGTTAGAGACGTTAGACGAATAGACGATTAACATTTTCGACGCGATATCGTTTTATATTTTGTAGATTGATTCGGCGCAGTCGACGAATAGATGTCGATATTACGGAAAACAAATGTTGATTGCATTTTTGGACAACTGTTTGCCATTTGCGATATTTACCTACAATTTAGTAAAAAAATAAAATTGTCATGAGGACCTATGTGTAAGAGTAGGTAGGTACTCTATGACGGATGAGCGAACCAGAAGTAGGAAATGATTTTTAAAAACCGTGACACTGGAGCACTTTGGACGGCGCGCGGCGTCTGGAAATGTTCTTTTTCGGGTCGCTCCTCGGAGACCCTGATATTTTATCCGATTCGGGACGTATATTTCTGGTCTATTACAGCTTATATTTAAGTTGCTAATCGTAAATGCTCAGAATGAACTTCGCGTTCACTCAAAAGCCGACACATGCGTGTCTCACGACTTCCTGCACGTGGACGACCAATAATTTTTCTTTTAAAAAAAGCCAAAATAAAAACTTCGAACGACCTTGATAAATTAATCAGCTAATCAGCGGCGTTGACCTATCGCCCCTTGCAGCAGTAGAACGCCTTATATGGATAGTTTTTCGTAAGCAAGATATTTATTACGTCACAACCGTATTGGTTTCATTTAGAACCGCGGTTACTACGATAAATATCGGTGTATTATGCCTGGGTAATGGGCGAACGCAAAAATGAAATAAAATAAAGCTGGCCGCATAAATTGCAAAAAGAGAACAATAAGGAGGTCGGATCAGTCATGAACCTAACGAAAACCTTTACAATTGTATAATTTCTTCAATTCTTCATATGATATCAGTTACAAAATTTGAGGGAAGATTGACACGTCATCTAATACATGAGCTAAATAACTAAACCTTCAAACTCCTAAAGATATAAACGTCTTATTAATAATGATATTCGTCTCTTATATCAATTATTAAACAATCAAAATAATTAAATTGATTGTCCGGAGTTGTCCTTATTAATATACTACCTCACCATACCCTCAGATCTAGGAACACATTTTATGTACTACCACAAATACAAAGTATTATAGTTATGCCTCTTCAAATATTAAGACTTTATTAATTTAATGGTAATTCAGTAAACAATTTTGATTTCTTTTTTGATACACCAAGCAAGTTAAAAATTTCTGAGTTCCAATTTTGTATTATTTTTATTATTTGTAAAATATTTAGGCACCTATTAGTTATCAATTTATTAAGAAAGTAACGTATTAAATAATATTTTTCTCGCCTTTCGTTCCGTTTTGTTTTCCCCGCATGTTTCCATTAAAAATGTTATTTGTGTTACCAATGATAATATTACTGTACTCTGTGCAGGTGGTTATCACTCATAGTAAAATATTTCGTACAGTAAACTTATTATCATTATTACCTATATAGTATAAGTCGACGGCGTCGATGTGGGACAAAGGTTTTTGTCGGCGATTAGAAATCGAGCTCAAATCGGCACACTATATTTACATAATAAGTATTTTTATATTGGTACGCAGGTATGACAATATACTAGTACGGTATATACACAACGCGATTGAACCAAAGTGTTTTAGACTGTTTATTTGGCGAAATTCTAATTTATTTTGGCATATACAGGGTGTCCCGCGAATGTGTTTATATATCGTCTTAAATCGATAATATAACATAATGCAAACACGACCGAGTCCCCCTCCGCGCATCAGATCATGTAAAACCGTTTGCGGAACACTCTGTGTGCAAACACAAAGCGCACACACACATATTATTTATATATAGTATTATATAGGTACGACACAATATATATATATATACACGCAAAGAAATAACAATCTTAGTATAATATGTATTATTAAATAGTAATATCAATATTTTTTTTTTTTGTCCAGCTTATACAACACTCTGCACATGACGATTTTCGACGGATCCAAATATTATCCAATGCGAGTGAGTGTGTGTGTGTGTGTGTGTTAAAAAGCAGTCGGAAATAACGTAATATATAATTGACAATACGTGTTGTACAGACGCGTCAGCGTAACAATCTAAATCGTGAACGCAATTACATATATTTCTCTTCTCATAATATTTTATCACACCAGTGTAGCAGTTGTAGTACAGAGAAAAAAAAATGGTAAATTATTATAATAATATTATAGTGTTAATAATAGTTTTTAGTCAAGTAACGCAATAGTTTTTTTTGACAAAAGCAAACATTTAAAATAATATATAATATACATAATATTAAATTAATATATATATATCATAGACTTATCGATAGAATATTATTTCTAAGTTTAGTGTTATAATGCGATTGCAATAATATAATATAATATCCAATAAAACATTATCAATATTATTATTAATATTGTTGTAACATCCAATAATATTATATTATTCTTAATACGTAATAATAATTTAACTACAATATTTATATTCAATTGTTAAAACGGTAAACGATAGAAACATTAAACACTAGGAACACAAAACTCGTTATGAAATAACGTTGATCACAATAGTTTTTTTTTGCCAGGAGATTTTTTTTCCTTTTGTTTGTATTGATTATTTTTTACACCATAGGAAGATTCTAAAAGATTAAAGAAAAAGAGGACGTGAAACAAGATTCAAAGTGTCTTAATATAAGCATATTTATTTTTGGAAATATCTTTGTACAAAAGTGATTAATTCATCCGATCGGTGTATCTATTGTTCCTTACACAACCGTATACTCAATGTAATAATTTTGTCACTGTTGAAATGTTTTCTTGAATTTAAATATTATTATCTTATCTAATTTAAAATTTTTTTTTGAAAATTTAATGCTTTGTATTTTTTTTTTATCGTGTTCACATATATTTAAATATATTATATGATAGGTATTATATGGTAGGAATTTTCTGATAGATTTATCGTTTTTAATTTCACTGAATGATTTGTTTCAGAATCGTTTGGTCGCAGCAGTTCTATCAAGTACCAGGTAGGTGCTATATTATAAACTAAACAAAATACCGAATCAAATAAAATGATTTTAATAAAACTACGAGTATAATATTCTTGGTTAAAAAGAATAAGGTTATCAATGTTTTTTTTTAAATTTCAGATTAAGTTCTTTTGAATAAACTGAACTTACAAAAGTTATTATTTGGTGCCTTTCATTAGCCAAAGGTATTTTCTTTTCTTATGTCAGATGCATAATAATTATTAAAATTGGTCTTGGTCTACTTTGATCATATTATTATTATTATTATATCCGTTTCCTGTACATTATTTTAAATAATTCATTTCTGAAGGTATTTGTCAGAGACGAAAATTATCGACTGGAGAACCCGATTTTTTTTTTTTTTTAGTCCTTTAAGTTCCAGAAATATTTAAACGATTTTTCTTAAATATTCTAAATCAGTAATTTTTTTTCACCCACTGTACAGTGGAACAAAACGTTCGAATATAGGTACAGGGTTTTTAATACCATCAGTCTCCGTGAGCCGTATTTTTCGAAGCGATTCTATAGAATAAAATTATCGCTGGAGTTTGTTAAAATGGTTTTTTTTTTATCCTTCCCGACTCTCTATATTATTATATCGCAGAACCATTTTGTATAATAATAATTATTATTCTATATTATACATTGAAAAAAAAAAAATGAATGTCTGTCGTCGCCGACGTGTTGTGGGTATTGCGCCGCCGGTAAATACGGAAAAATATAAGACTACGCTCGAAAGACTTTTTTTATATTACATTCAATATATAATGTATTGTATATTACATCATGGAGATAAATGAAGAAATCCAAAAGAAATAATAACGTCACCGTTGTCGGATATTATAATAATATTTTAATCGTTATGCTTTTGATCATATATTATTATAATAATATTATAAATGTTTTAGGCCCCGCCAGAGAATGATTTAGCTGTTGTACAAACAATATAATATAACGCGTTCATCTCACGTGACTTCAACCGTCGGCGACGGGCGATGTCATAATAATTAATATAATGTATTATTATCATTATTTAAAATTTAGGTGAGCGAAGTGTGCAGGAATCGTGATGCACGAATCGAGAACTTTTAAGTCCGGCGGTGTTTTGTTCCGACGGGCGGGATGACAGGATAAGGATATTAGGATGTATACATACATTATGATATATATATATATGAGTGGACTGGACTCTACAGCTATATAATAATATATAGGTACGGCAAACGTATCGCGATACTATAATATACCTATATAAATTATAATAATAATAATAATAATAATAATCAAACTATAACATTTTTTTTTTTTTTTACGTTTTTCCTCACATCGACATATTATTATTATTATCATCGTAATATAGTATAATATGTTCAATATTATTATGGTGAGTGCACTTCTACGGGTGGGCAAAAACAAAAAAAAAAAAAAACAAAAATTACAATATATTATAATAAGATTCGACGTCGTTCCGCCGGTGCGCGTGTGTATAATATCATAATAATATTTTTGTAATCATCTACGAGGAGATGGCGACGGCTGCGTCGGCGGTGGAGGCGGTGGTGGACGTGGCTGTGGCGGTATCGTTCAGCTGTCCAAGGTGAGCTGCCGCAAGCCGGCGGTGACGTGAGCGTCCAAGTCGGGCGCGCCGTCGGCCGACATGTCGGGGTGCGCGTACGACAACAGGAAATGGCACGTGCCCGGTATGTGCTCGGGGAACCCGACGGGCAGACACGACCGGCTCCTCTCCTCGAACGAGAATCCGGGGGTCTTCATCAACAACCTGTGAACACAGAGCACGCGATCGCGTTAATAATGAATTTTTCATGTGTAGGTACGTCATCGCGTCACACCAACAATATTATATTAATATAATATATAATATTCATCACAATATAATAATTAATATATGAGACGGGGCATCGGAGTTTGGTCCCAAGTACTAGGGGCTGTTAATCGCAGCAGCGTACTAGACTAGTTGGGTCCGGAATTATTTTAGGTAACACACTAGTTGGGTTTTAGATTTTTTCAGGTACCACACCACCTAGTTGGGTTGTTATAATTATATTTGTTGGTGACAACTACACTATATACTAATATTTTCCTTTACGTTTGAACAGACTTAGAAGTCTATTCAGACCAAAAGGTGTGTTTAAAAATGATTTTTTACAGTTCCTTTTTTTTTTTAGTTTATTTGCTATCAAAAATATCAATTACTTGAGTTTTATAAATTATGATATTATACAAAATATATTGGTACAATACAAAAAATATTATACATTTTTATGAACACTAAAGTGATTTTGTTAAAGCAAAATTTTATTTTTATTTATATTATATGAATTAGTAGGTTTTTTTTAATTTTTATTATTTTTTTAGTATATTATAATTTGCCAAATTCTTATAATTTATATTTTTAATGGCAAAGAAACAAATAAAAAAATAGAAACAATTTTAACCATACCTACCTTTGGTCTTAACTCTATATAGATAATGCACAGTCCTTTATTCTATTAAAATAGGAAGGAAAATTTTAGGATAGTACCTGTAGTACTGACAAAAATATATTAGGGACACAACTATAGTGAAATACCTAAAATAATTCGGGACCCAACTAGTGTAGTACCTGAAAAAATTTGGTACCCAAATAGTGTAGTAACAGAGAAAACCTGGACTCAACTGGTCACTGATGTTGTAACTAAAATAATACCGGACAAAAATAGTTTATAAATTTTTAGTTAGTGACCTATCTCGGATGAAGCCATATGCGAGTATGATAATGATAATAACAATAATAAAAATAATATAACATACAACCAAGGCTTGATTTAGCACAAGTGCCGCTATTATAGGCCCAGATTTAAATATGCTCCTCCTCCACTTTATGTTCCTATCTTTTCCCACCTTCAAAATTTGAATTATTGAAAAATTGCTTTAAAATATTAAAAATAAAATAATAGAGAACAATTCGATTAAAAATTATAAAATACAAATATCAGAAATTAAATTTAAATTACAAGTTCGCAAACGATGGCAAGACGTCAACTATTAAGTTTTACAAACAAAATATATTTGTGATATCTTCAGAGTCCTGCAAGATATACCTGCAACGCTATACAGTTGGCTTTCTCGAATGAAAACTAAATCGTTTGAAGGAAAGATTTATCGTAAATTCGTAATATCATTGTATCATTATATCATACAATAAATTATTTATACGTAATAATATAGCGTCGTCCATAGTCTTTGAGCATGTAATTGGAGCTCGTTTACAATGTGAACGTATATATTAAGTCTTTTATGAATTCCTGACTAATATAACATATGTATGGTATATAGATATGGGGCGGCCATATGAATGCTTTTTGAGTATATACAAGCAACGAAAGTTCTGAGTATATCTAAGCAGTAAGTTCCTATGTCTTTGCAAACATAATAATATTGAATATTATATAACGTCTTACAAATGGCAAGATCCTTAATGTTAAGATGTAGAAAGACATTATGCGTCTCTTACGTAGGTACTACATACGAGGTATATTAGGTATTGAATAATTTAGAAATTCGAGAACACCTTAACACTGCACGTATAGAAGCTGATTCGATATCAATTGATCGTGACGATGAGTAGTGAGTATACTGCTGTTTAGCTGCAATATTATATATTATGCGCACACCGTATGAATAATAATAATATATATAAGTAGACGGACGAAGACTGTATTATATTATACAATAATATTATAAATTTGGTGGAATGACGGAACGCCAAATATCAATCATTCTCGTGCAGAGATTCATTCAAGTAGAGCGCTATGAAGTCGAAATACGCTTTGCACTTAAAAATAAACACATACCACCTACATGTATTATATATACATATCAAATAGATAGATTGAGATAGAGCCGAGAGAGAGTTATTGGAGTGTAGCCGCCGGCTGGTCGGAATATCCGCGGGACGAACCCCGAGAATAATACTGAGAATGATGAAAAAAATAAAATACGGGACAGTACCGGTCGTCTGTGTGCAATAATATATGACCCAATGCAGACCGAGCGGTAAAAGGATATCGAATTGATAGATGGAAAAATAAAATTTCACGTCTGCGCGGGTATACGATTTTTTTCTTGATAATCCGAGCGGCCCGAAGGGTAACGAAAGCGGCTATTTAAAGATATCGTACACCCCCCCCCCCACACACACACACACACACACACCCCACGCACGCGCGCATTTAAACCATTTATTATTTTTATAGATATGTTTTATTTTTTACAGCATTCATGCCGAACGGTTCGATTTATCAAAAAAAAAAAAAAAACGTTTTACGGACATCTCGATCGTGGCTGAAACGCATACATTAAGACGACGAAAAAGTCAGTAAAAACCGTATCGGAGACTTAATACGGTTGTAGAGTAGGTAAGTGTATTATATTTGTTTATGTACATATTATATTATACGAGTGAAATCGTCTAAAACAAAATAACGAACAAATCTCGAGCAGAAGTCCAATCTCAAATTTGAGCATATTTATCTAGGCCGACGGCGCCGTGGACCTGTGGTCGTAGGGCGTGGCTTGGAATTTCATTAAACCATCACGACGTGTATTATAAGTAAATATTAGCATTAAATATTGAATCGTACCGAGTACGTCGGGCCAAGCGTAGCAAGTCGTCTAATCGTCATAATAAATATTGTTTAGCGAAATCGCGATCAAATAATTATTCGGAAAATCAATTATTTATCTTTTCCTCTGTTCAATATTGCATTTCGTCTCATCCAACTCTAACAAAATCGAATCGCACGCCACTGTGGTCTCTGCAGTCATTGAGTCGCCTATAATAATATGTATAGGCAATCCAACAACAAAATTAAATTATTTTCGACAATCACGTTATCCGTCATTCACAACCACGCTGTAAAACAAGTAATACATAATTTTATTTTTAAAAATACGGGTTGAACCCTATAAAGTTACTTTTTAGTACATTCATACGATAATTTGAATAGGTTTTAATAATAAAAGTAGGTAGAATCAGCTAACTTTCGTTGGTGCCCCAGGGCAATAATATTGGCACCCCTGCTATATATTAAAAATATAGATATTTGAAAATCTACCGTCCTCTGAAATGTCACAACTTTTTCTACCCTGGGATACTTGCCCCCCATCGCCACTCACTAGACATTCGCTACAGAGTGGAATAGACTAGCTGGCGATACGTCGCTAATAATAACGACACAACAGCTGGTAGAATAATAAATCGACAATCGCGGTCATTATAATACACTTACTGATGAGTAGTCGGACTGACGTTTATCCTGAGCGGTTCGCTACCAGACTCGAACTTGTTGGCAATCGTCACGTTGTGGCCGAACAAGCAATATCTTGGCATTTTCACGCCGACCACTCCGGCCAATATCGATCCGGTGTGCAATCCGATTCTCATCTGAAATCAAGACGATTAAAAACTGGTCTATCGAACTTAACTACTATACAACATAACCTATATAATATTATCATAAGTCGAGATGTGACGTACGTCTACGCTTTTGAGAGTGGAAAACATTAAACGCCTATAATAGTATAATATAATAATATATTTTTTTTGATCTTATTATACACGCATACTATATAAGCTGAGAAATGCACACACGAGCCTACTTAAATATAATATGCGTGTGCACTAATTTATGCGTCTCTAGTTTCGAACATTTTCGCGGTGTCGCTGCATCATTCGCCGAAAAGGGATAAAAAACAAATTATGTCTCCGGAACCTGCAGGCAGAGGTCAAAAATGTTATCCTTTGAAAACACGGCTGACATTTTAAACGTTATTAAACGGAAACCATAAAACGAAAAAAGAAATAACAATATCATTAAACAAAACATGATACATTCAACGAAAAATAATTAAGAATATCATTAAATACCTAGTAAAGCTTAACTATAATAAGCCCCCGAGTAAATATAATTGTCGTATATTGTATGAATAAATTTTATAAATGTTATGTATACTATATACATTGTACATACTATATTATACAAACATGGTTTTAAATTTCGTTACAAATGGGAAAAAAGTGATTTATAGGTTTATAATCAGCGATAAAGTAGGTATAATATATTAATCGTATAATAATAATAATAATAATAATATTTATAGGCCAAGAAATTACAATTTTCAGTCATTAAATATATTATATAGTATAGTTAAATGGCCCATATCACCACTATGAGGATAACCTGTTATCGGTGATGACTGATGATGGAGTACTATTAAAAGATAAGTACCTATACGTTTATACATTTTATAATATTTTTGATACTTCCGTAAATACTGCGTAATATTTTACTATAATCCAAAAACATAAATAACAATGAATGAACATATAAAGAAGAAGAACAAAAATGAAATAGATAAATAAATATACTAACTTATAGACACTGGTATATTACATAGGCTATAGGTTACTAGTATTATTTAAAAACCCTAGTTTAATAGAGTGTTAGTACATATTTTTATAAGACGCCGAAATATCATTCAGTATAATCTCAAATCCAGGTGCGAAAAACAACGACTAGATTATTATGTATAATTTTAATGTTTAAAAGTAAAAAATGGTATAGTGATGATCATACAAAAAATATAACATCATTAGTCAAAAAAAAAATGAAAAACGTCTTAATTCGCATAATAACGTGAAACGACCTTTTTTTAAAAAAAAACTTTCGTTGTAGTGTTTTGACCAATATAATGGCTAGTCAGTTGGGGGGGGGGATGAAGATGGGTCGATCCCTGCTCAATTACCAAAACTAAAAGTATTTAAAACGATTATAATAATCACTGTTAACCAGAGAAATAACAACTGTTCTTAATAAAAAAATCTATCGGAATCGTATGAAAAAAAAAGGCAAAAAATGGGAATAACTGATAACATAATTTTACATTAATTATACCAATAATAACGATTGTGTGATTAAAATGGATTTTTCTTCAGTCGGTGCCTTTTATACTGAGCCAATTAATTTTACTTGATGCCAGTATAGGTACTCAGTTATGTATGGAACATATGACATTTAGTTATGTATATATTATAAAAAATCGTATATGATATAGCATATACTGCAGTTACGCACATATAATATTCTAATATTATTAAAATAGACTTTAGTGCCATAATTATTGCAAAAACTAATAGTGAGGGGGTAAGATTACCCGAACCAAATCCGTGCTCTATTACCAATTTCAAAAGTATATACATTTATTTTTAATAATAATGAGCTTGAAACCGAAAACATTTTATTTTTGATTTCGGTTTTCATATATCGGTAATTATTTTTTCCCATTTCGTTTTTGGTTTTGAGTATTGGTATTAATTTTATTTTTCCGATTTAAATATCGATTTGATTACAATAGTATTGATATTTCCGATTTCACTTTCAGTTTTTAACAGTTTATCGATTTAAAATCGATATCCGATACCGGTTTCAAGCCCTGAACAAAAGACACTGTTGGCCGGAGCAATAATAATAACACTGCAGTTAGGTTTAAAAAAATCAGAACCGTAAGAAAAATACCAACTGTTACATGAATAAATGTGTATTATATAACATTCAGTTACGTATTATTATGATACAACGTATTGGATATCGCATATTGCAGTTAAGTATTTAGGCACATAGCGCCATAATTATTACGAAAACTAATAGTTTGGAGCATTAAAAGATTACGCGCAGATTTAATTCCCTTAAAGCTCGTATAATCCCTGGTAATATATTATTAGGTATAGGTGGTTCGACTACGTTTTATATAGATCACCACACTCTGCACGCATACACTAGGTCGTGTACCGCGATAACAATTATAATAATGTATTAATGTCAATAATATTATGTTATATAACTGTTTTCGTGCTGTACTTAAAAAAATATAAAAGCTCATGTGTGCCGAGTCGACGGTTTTTTTATAATGATATGTACCAAATATTTACTATTATACAGTATAAACGTATTAATTATTATTGTCGCACCACGCAAGTCTTATGGGAATCGGTTAAGAGGACGCTACATATGGATGCATATTTTGTTGTCTCCGTTTAAACACTACTTTCAATAGTGTACTGTCAGTTTTGATATAAGAGTGAATTATTGACCTATCGTCAAACTTTCATTTACCTAAGAACATTATTCAAAGCGTCGGATTTATTCAATATTTTAAGAAATATGATCACTTTTAATTTATTGTTGATATTTCCCATACCCATATTTTGCTTGAAAATTAAAACATCGAAAAATCGCCTACGATTAATGATAATGTTATATAATGTTATATGCACAGACATAACGTTATGTTTGATAACAGGTCGATTCGCTCTGGTATCGAAAGTAACAGCTCATTATTGAAACTAAAGTAAACGACAATTTTCTGTGCCATACGTGTGTAAGACGGAGATAACAAACGCATTGCGGATAGCACCTTCTTAAGGCAAAAGCGTATATTAACATAATTATTTTCAAGCACGTCGTGTAGTCTGATGACCTTAGGATCACTACAATGTAGGTGCCAATAATTCGTTTATCATTAATATTTGTGATGACTGAAATTTGTTCTCATAGTTTTTTGCCAAATTCACGGCACATGTACGAAATAACATTATCAAAAATTGTCATTTGTGTACCTATATATAATGTAGCTGTAATTTTGTACGATTAAAACCCCCTTAAATACCGAAATTAACGAAGTCGGGAGTAATGGACATTGGACACGCATATACAGTTTTACTTATTACAATTTGCCGTTCGGTGTAAAAACTCAAAAATAATTAATTTTCAAGCTTGAATAACTTTTTTTGGTGTTCTGATATCGAAAAAATAAAAACGACGTTGCACAGTAAAATATGTTCTCCTCGTTACATTGTGAACATTTGGTCGCTTAGCGGTGACTACAGCCTGAGTGGTTTTCACCCTCGAAAAACAGTTTTTTCAATGTTTTACATATTTTGTGAGACGGAGACAACACGTGCAACGGTGTAGCGTCCTCTTAAAACCGCCGCCGCAGACAACGAGTAAAATTTAATGTCGAACACGAAACGCATTTTTATTTGTAATAAATAATAATAGTAATAATATATAATATTAAAGCGTTAAAAAATATTATTGCGGCGTAAAACACGTGAAGAATTCGCATCGGAATCGTATACGTCATGTACGACCGTCCCGATATATTTATTATATATATAAATTTTTTCCAACGTGATATATATATATATATATTTTCCGCCATGATATATATATATATATATACATATATGTTATGTATATATGTATTACTTTTCCGCAATCTTTTGTGTTTTGCGGCTCTATCTCGGCCGTAATCGCTATATTATACTCGGACTTTTACCCGATTTATTACTCGAGCAGCGTCCTCCTACACCCCACCCCATACCACCATCGTCGACTCTTATTCCGCAAAGGTTTTCCGAAATCCCCGAGGGATACGTGTCCGACGTTTTTATCTGCCGCCGCGGTCGAGCCGGCAGACGAAATCCACTATTCCGGTCGTTCAATTATTATATCGTTGCGAATTTAATCTAAATCGACGTTCTAAGTACGCGAGTCCATATTATATTATTATAGTAGGTACCTTCTACTTGAACAATAATAATAATAATATTATAAAAAAATATACGTTATAATAATAATAACATATTAACATGTGAGTTTCAGAGCTCTGATCAATGCAATCGAATATTAAGTTAAGTTTGTTTATAGTCGCGTTTCTCACTGCAGTAAGAGTGTAAGACCGCATTAATTGTTCTTAGCTTCGAGGGGATAGCAAACGAACAGTTTTTAAGGAGTTAAAAATAAGCAATTTTTTAAATTGTAAATGTGTGCGTAGTAAATAATCATTAGTGTGTGTAACTGTGTGTAAATAAAATATTGGAGCGCTCCCGTTTCTCGCGTGGACGCAAACAATTTATGCTAATTTGTATTTATTTTTTGTCAATCCTACCGGAGGACTTGATAAAGCGATAAGACTTCTGAAAACTGATTTGAATTCGTTAATAATAGAGATAGGATCTCTATAATAATTGAGATCGATAAGGCCACATTTAAAGGTGTTGAATTTCGTCTTCGAATAATCAACATGAGAAATTTCGTAAATTTTAATTATTCAAGCAAAATTTATAGGGATTCCGAGTTTAGGACCAACATTTTAAAAAAGTGGCCTGATCGATCACAAGTAGACATCATACAAACGAATTCAAAACAGTCTTATCTCGGTATCAGGTCCTTCGGTATGATTGACAAGAGATCGGTACGTTTTGGTTGAAATAATATTATTGTCCGTTTTTGCAATCGCCTTAAAACGCTTTTAATTTTCGCTTGCCATATATTTCTCGCTGACTTTTTTAATCGTCGAATCCGGCCGCAGCCGCAGCGGTCCATCGCAAAAATCTAGAGGCCTGTACATTTCACTCGACGATTACATAAATCTTGTGTAACACGTCGTGAGGGGGGGGGGGGTCGATTCAAACGCGAAAAAAAATATCACGACTTTCTCGAACGGACCCACTGACGAGGTTTTCATGATAATTACGTTTCGTCTTTAACTCACAGTAGCCACGACGGGTGCGCTTAGGTTTTTTTCTCTCAAACGTTTTCCTACGCGCTCGAATAATATTACATATGCGGCAAAGTGTTTCAGATTTCGGTGCTCCCTCTGAAAGTGGAAACAAGAGAATGAAATCTCAGAGCATATAGGTACAAAATATTACGTCCGACTCTGAGGGGCACCACGTGTCGTACATACTAAACGAACGGTTTTGACCCGACCCGGTCGATCGCGGTGTTGTATAGGGCAAGCAGGAAACTCGCGTAGGTATAGACCGCGGCCATGTATCAAAATATACGTTTTATTATTACTATTTATATAATATATAAATATATATTATATCGGTATGATATACGCCTCCTCGTCGATATACTTGTACTTGTATAAAATATCGCAAATAAACTACTATGTGCACGGCATGATTATTAATTTATCGTGCTAAATATTGTTTTGAAGTCATTATTTTCTCGGTAAACTAATGGGTTTTTGATAATATTTTGTATTTTTTTACGCGACCTGAATTATTATAGTCATATAATAAAATAATAATATTATACCTAACAATTAATATTCCAACTGGTAATTGATTAGTAATTATTTAGAACTATTGATTGGATAGTTATTTAATAAGCATTCACATTTCAGATGATCGGAGTGGAGTAGCATAATTATAGAGGTACTTGCTCGGCACTCACCAAAGTTTTTGTCCATACACTATATTATATACTTCCCTCGCATAAACGCTATAAAACACTATATTATGACTAATTAGTATTTCGCAATTACGTGTTCGAAATTCGATTTTTCTACATCGGTATACGTTTTCAGAAAAACATAGTAGGTATCTATGTAATTATAAAATATGAACGTCTCGTTATTTAAAATTAAAAAAATTATAGTTTTTTTTTTTAAACTTCGTGTCGTAACTATATTATATAGTTAGGTAGCCATTATGAGATTATGTAAAAAAAATTACATTTGATATATGTATGTTTAAAAACACAAATATAAAACGTATTCAGAAAACGACTGAGTGATAAAATAATAGTGGTCACTCACTCCATACGTGACGTGTGTGACACGATAACATAATATATTAATATACACTGTGGCGTTGGGGTAATCTCGTCAGATGATCGGGCGCCATCGCTCATTGTTTTTTTTTGCATTAAAAAACTGTCGATAAAAATAACGAGACTGACCGAGCGCGCGCGTAGTTCAATAATTAATATTCGATATAATTATATAATAACGGACATGACGTGAAGTGCATATCTATATATATATAATATATATACGACGTGTTGTAGTACTGCCCGTCCTATAATAATGCATGGCGTGATATTATTATTATTATAACGATTAGATTCGTCGTTCGAAAACGAGACGTGTACAATATTATTATTATGATATTATACTTTGTACATAATTTTGTTATTAAAATCTGGTCTCGGCGCGTCTTCGTTCGAGGGCCGTATATAATAATATTATGTTATTATAATATTTTTAGATATCAAATGCATATATATATATATATTACGTACAGCGTGAACAATATTCCTGTAAGTATAATAATAATAATATTACGCAACCGATACCCGTATTATATGGCGTTCCCGCGGGACTCGAGAGACGACCGCAACGCGAGCTGCGCATGGTAAATATACCTCCACGCGACGTATAAAATATTAAATCGTTGCCCAACCTATGTGTAATATACACACACATATATATATATAGGTATATATTATATAGTATACTTATATAAGTATATATATATAGTATATAATAGGGTTTTAACTCGAGAGGAAGAGACGCATCGCTGGCACGAGCAGGTTCCGGCCATTGGGTTTCCGCAGCCGCTGGCGCTCAGTTCGACAAAACAAAAATAATGCACACTGCACAGAAAGTGCAGTGTGATGCAGTTTTCGGCTTTTATACTCTCCAAACAATACCGTGCCCGTGTCTCAATAAATATTATTATTGTCATCGTTGCTATTATTGTTATTGTTAGCAGGGGCGGAGTGGGAACCAAATCCAGGCCGGGAGTTTAAAATTTATCCAGGCCACCCACCAACATTTTTTTTCTCGCTAAGCTCGAATTTGGTTTTTCTAAAAGTATTTCAATCACTATCTTGCTATTCTTTTAACTTCTGTCTTCTAACACATAATATTAATATACCACTAAGTACCTACTTATTCCTGAAAGTCTGAAAAATAAAATTAGTAGGTATGGTTTAATAGTTGAAATCAACGAAATATTAATAATTATATTATACATTGTGTTTTAATTGTTTAGGTATAGTAGATATAAGGTAATAAGTAATAGATATATACAAACATTGTAAACAATATATAATGAAAAAGATTTATACATTCATAGTAATAATTTAGATAATAGATTAGATTTCTCCCACCTTATGTATATTGTTATCTATTTCCATGGAATTTTATTTTCATGGCATAGCATAAAGACTCAAATAATCATTGGTCAATATTTCTCAGCTTAATTTTTAAATACTCATGTTTAAAATGGGGTTTATTATAAAATAACCGACCTATACCATTCAATATATTGCTTGATTTTATTGATGTCTATATTATGTGCCAATATTTGTAATTTTATATCAAGCTTTAAATTAATTAATTTAAAAAAAAAATTTAATAGAACAAACTTAGCATCTTTTGTAATTAATAAATTAAAAAAATCTAACATGGCCAGGCACCGGCCATAGTATGGTCCAGGCCATTTGGAAATTCCCATTTCCAGACCGGCACTCCGCCCCTGTTGTTAGTACCTGTCACGATGATACCTAGTATTCTCTTTTTAAGACGCCGGAAAATATGTCGAATCCACCACGACTGTGGTGTAGCTAAATTGCCTACCCGAAACGCCGTGGTTTTATAATTTTATCAGTGAAATACATTAGTTTTGTTTTATGGTCATCATACTTTTGAGAACCCATGGAATATTATTCAGTAAGCTATTACTGCGGAATTTAATAAGTCAGGACAAGGCTTGACGAAACAAATAATATAACATACAGTGCATTTTAAGCTCGGCAATAGTGATATTGTATTATAACCTATACAATATTATGCCATTTCGCAATTAAAATATAAGTATATGACCGATTGATATAGTTTCGCTCCAAAACAAACCAGCCGAGAGCTAGTTCAGTCGGATCTAAACCATGTTCTTTTGAACAATTTGTAAACCGATACGGATGGATTGTAATATTATTGTTGTATCGTGGTACGGCAACCCGCCACCACTGCTCTACTTTCACACACAAATTAATTTCGAATCCGATGTCAAGTCTATGAACTCTCTTTTCCACCATAAGCTCACGGCACTGGCACCGGTAGAAACGACCTCTAGTTCGAAAAAATGTTCATTTTTAAAATTTACTTTAAAGTATTTAAATAAAATCAATGTTTATTCGAATTTAATGTTTTATAATTTTAATGCTTTTTTTATCATTTTATTTGAGCAATAGGTGTTTTAAGTCACAAATAAATACTAATTAATAACGTAGCACAATATTGCGAACAATGACCGCAGTCAACAAATGCATTAAGTGGTATAAGATAAAATGTGTTGACCATTATTGCAGTATACCCAGGTAATAATGATAAAAATAATAACAAAAAAAATACTATCGACAATTAATATTATAGTAACTGTTCAAAACATTTAAAACAAAAAAAATTATGACGTTTAAATCTAAATGTTTCAAACACTTTGCAACCCTGAAGAGTTATTATGTCATCGTCAGCTTGTATAATGTGCTATGTGTAATCATAATGACGTTCTCAGGTAAATGTGCGGCTCGAAGTCATCAATTTTAAGTCACGAGAAAATAATAATTATATAATGTGTATTAAACATAGATTTACTCTGATCGGTTTTCCGTCGTGTGTGTGATGAGTTTTACACGTTTCGATCATCTTCAGAGCCATCCATGCTATTTGCTGAGCGTGTATCGAACTGAACTTGTGCAGACCCGAAGCCACGCAGTAGGCATCGCCAATTGTCTCTACCTGTAAATTCAAAGCAAAAAAAAAAAAATTGAATAAAATAATATGTCAAACAATTTTTCCTCCCTACAAATGTATAGTTATGTTATATTTTGTGGTCAGGCACAAAGTACAATAATAATATTATAATGTAATGGCTATGAAAACAAGTATAATATCCATATTATTAATATTATTATTTAGTGTCGGTGACTGCTATTTTATTACGAAATATAATGTTATAATATATTTTACACTCCGCGTTTGTATATTTTTGTAAGTATTGTTACTTGTTTTATGTTCATTTTATTTGTTTTTTTTTTTTAAGCGTGCAGCGTAAAAACCTAATCATGTTTTAGTCTTTCTGATATAAGTCTTAACTAGCATACATTATAACATTTATGAATTATTATAGGCTATAATATAATACAGCCTTTTTTTCCATTTTTATTTTACGTTATTTTATAATGTGCACCAATTCTAATATAAACAGTTTTCCGAAAACTCACTTTTAATGATTGCATTCATTTTAACGGTGTGATTTTTGCAATTTATTTAACTGTTAAACGACTTTCACTGTTTAGAATATATTATTATTATATATTTGTACAACAATAAAATTATAAAACTTCATATTATCATAATTGTGTGTATATGTTAAATTTAAAACGATTCAACATAAAGGTTACGTTACACGCAATACTATCGATCTCGTGGCCAAACGACAGTAATAATACGAACTAGGAAATGTTTAGGTTCGTACATTTATTTTTTCCGGATTATTCTAAATTATATTTTACGATCAGTGCCCCAAGTAATTGTAAAAAACTTAACTTTACCGCTTTTTTAAGGAAACCTTTTAAAATGTAAATATTATTTAAATACGAGTTTCTGAGTATTGTGATAAAAATTATGCAAATTACAATTTCATAAGTCAAATGTTATGTAAAAAAATAAATTAAAAAATAAATAAAAATGTAATAATTATTATCAACACGGAGCCGAGTAAACAGTTTTTTACGGTTTGCTCGAAGCGATATTTATCTCGGTCGTGTTCGATTCGTAAGTATCATTATATAATAAACGCTCAATATTATTGTTTGTGTATAATTGTATATAATAACATTATAATAATGTTGTAACGTTGAAAAATAAGATCGGTAAAGGTGTACGGGGCGACTTCACAAACTCTAGTGGCAAGTAAATTACAATATATTTATATATATTATATATATATAGAGAGAGAGAGTAGATCGTCCTTTTTGCATAAAACATTTGAATGTGAATCGTTTTATTAGGGTTCGGTCGAGGTAAAATTTATTCCGGTTACGCGACGAATGTTTATCGCGCGAAGGTCTAACAACCGAGTTGGAAATCGAAAACGAAGCGGCGGCATTCGCTCGGAAATCCGGAAGTAAAAAACGGAAGAAAAAAGCTGGAAACACAATGTCCGTCCGCGCCGTGTACCTATACATCATCGTCAGTATAAGTTCACCTCGGGACTCGTGATATTTATCGAACAGAGGTTTCGCGGATGGCTGACAGACGAAACGATAATATTATAATATATAAGTAGTATCATTTATTTACAATCAATTTTTTTAAAGCATATTATTGAATTGATAAATTTATAATAGAAAATATTTATTAATATTAGGCATGTAGGTATTATAGGTATAACAATATTATATTATATTGAGTACAAAAATCTTAATGTAGTCCAGGTGCAGCTACTGACGGGTTGACCTTACCCATTTTAGGGCGCCTGCCACACGAAATTGATTCTATTATTTTAGAGATGTTATAAAAACATTGGTAGACTAAAATTCGGTCTCAAACTTAATACGGATAAACAATTTTTTGTCATCGCGCCATAGGATGTTGGCGATAATTTCGATAATAATAATAATAGTATAGGTTTAATATTATTTATGCTGTTTACGACGATTCGGGGGGGGGGGAGGGAGGGCACACACGCGGTCTCGTCGCTCGTCGTCGCTGATCCATATAATACGGAAACGGAGATAATATTATTATTATTGTTTGTTGTACGCGTCCGCAATTCGTACAATATAAAAATAATAATACTATTATATTGTATTCACACGCGCATGCGATATCATTATGTGTAGTCGATCGCCTTGAGAGTTGAGACTATACAAGTATTGTATATCTTATGTGTATACATTATAATAATATTATAGTTTTATATTGTACTCGCACACAACGCCGCTGACACAAACTGTTTACCGACTTTCGTGAAACGCTTTATCCTCATTGTCACGTGTATCAACAAATACGCACTCATGATAAACACTCTGTAATAAGGACAATCGTAGTTCCTGCTCAGGATTTTTTGTTTTTTTTTTGTGTTTTCGCACGTCGTTTAACCCTCGGCCCGGCGGATTGTGAATAATATGAATTATTATACTGTCGATCGGGTCCCACTCGTCCAATATTTTAATAGAGAAATATGTAGGTAAACGTACAGGGTAAAGTGTCGACGTACTCATTTTGGTAAGTATTGGTGCATTTTTTAGATGTTTTTTTTTGCAATTTTATCTACCTAACTTATTCCTGAAATATTGTCTGTATTATATTATGTACTGTGCACACAGTAATGTTAAAGACTACCTTAATAGTATAATATTAGAAGGTATCTAAATAATTTATAATTATTATGCTCGTAAAAACATTTAAAATAAGGTAGGGCTCCCTCAACTTTAACAATGGAAGAAAAAAAACTCTGTAAAATGTATACTTAAATTTACTTTCATCAGTACTTTTTTAGTTTTCGTTTCCCTCATTGTCCTATATAACCGAAAAATATTAGGTCAAATGTGCCGTTTGGTATTAACATAATAATATCACCCAGGAAGGTTAGGTATGTGGTGCGGTAGTTGGCAGCAGTCACAAATGTGTGCTGCGGTGGACAAGCATCGGCCTGCGTTACTAGCTCCCGGATGGGTGACCACCCAGATTTTTAGTGACGAATCCTCGCCCCACACGCACACGTTTTATCGACTAACCCCATACAAAATGCTAATGACCATAGTTGCCAATGCTTCAGATTGGTAAAAAAATCAAAAAAATCACTCGGATGGAACTAGGGCATTTGATGCGCAGTGGTGCTCCGATCGAACGATTATAGCTTGAAAATAATATAATATGATGATGTGCACTATGTGTACCGTTGTACAAGTAACTATTCTCGCATTGATAAAATTGATAAATTTATAGTTTTTCTCGTTTGATTGACATCACCGAAATAAATCGCAGGTGAGGTGAATGCTACATTTGCTGATGCATGGCACCTGTGCGCACGTCTATGACAAATTATCATACGAAACTCGACAAATATTGTTTTTCAGCCGTCGGACAACATTCCGACGACGCCCTCATTAGTGTGACGAGAAACGGTGCGGCAAAGCGCAGCAACACATAATATTATATAATATACCTACGCATATAGGTACAATGTGGTTGTTGTTCCGAGATTTTAATGATTTAAAAAAAAAAAGCGTACAGTTAATACTTAATAGGCATTAGCGATAAACAAATTCTAGTCTAAATACAGTGACCGTGGGATATAAACATAATAGTGTTTTAAGTATTTTATATTATATTATTATGCAGTCATAAAAATAATAATTGTAAAGGTGCATATCGCTAAACCATCGTAAGAACAATATTGTAGTATACAATATATGGTACGTTTTTTACTTTTGATGCAATTTTGATAAAAAATGAGCAGGAAACATCCAACCTTTTTTTTTATTACTCTCTATATGTATAGTATTACGACTATTTAGTTCAGTCAATTTGAAACTATAAATTAGAGCTGCATCAAGTAGTTTCACCCGACTTGATATTTAATATAAATGTGCTGCTATTCAAAATAAATATGTCGTGAGGGAAAAAAGTTCGGTAAACTTCAATGTAGTTTAAGTCTAAAAATGTGAAAATTATAGAAAAAGAAATGAAATACTGAATAGTTTTTAAAAATCAACCGAAACAAGTTAAATCTTATAATATTTTCTATAATATATCGGGTTACAATTATTATGATATAAATGCATTGTACGCGCATATACTTATCACAACGAAAATAATACTATAAATATGCTTTACAGCTTTTTCATATAATTATTCAAAAAGCAAAGAATTATTAAACAATTTTGACTTATCACAATTTATTTATGTGCGGGTAGCATACACATCGATGAATAATCGTATTTTTTTTTTTTTTTAAACGGTTCCGGAAAGTTTAAATTATTATTCTGTTCATTGAATATTGCGATTATTTAAAAATATGCTCTAATCTACTCGGTTTTCCGATACTGGTAGTCCACAAATTACATTTCACAAAAAGTCAGGATAAAGCGTGGCGTAGGGTCTTACGAGTTACAAGTCAAGATTATTTTTCTTTATTTTTTTTGTTTATACTACGTTAAAACTTTCTTTAAAAAAACTGGGTTAACGAAGATGAAGAGTCGAAAGTTGTTAAATGTTCACTTAGATAAAAACCTTTTTCATTTCTAAAAACAAAAAAAAAACAACATATTTTTTGCGTTCACTTAAATTCGTTGGGTGATATTATACTCTAATCTCGAAAGACACACAGCATCTCAATCATTATGATAATAATTATTATGGTCGACTATAGACTATACAACAATTGTGTAAAATGAAATTCAAAATGCGATGTATTATCGTATAGGTATAGGTAAGTCATAGTAAGTACCTACTTACATAAATTATATTTGTTTATTAAACGTACAGAATTATTATTATCAAGTTATTGTATTTTAAGTCACGTAGCATTTTTAGTCAATATTACTATTGACCTGTCATACAATTTAAAGGTAAGATTATTATTTTTTTTTTTATTGATCTTAAGCTTCGGCAACTATGGCCATTAGCTGTAGTGGTTTATTTGTGGGTTGTTAATGTCGGAAGGGGGAGGAACACGCGTGTGTTGAGTTTTAGCAGAATTTTTGATTGGGCACCCGTAGGTATCTGCC